TACGGGGCCGGCCTCTTTTTCGAGTCTGAGCCGCCTGTGGCATCTCTTGAGAGGGCTCATTTGCGTCCGCACGTTCGGCTTGGGCTGCAGGCCTAATCACTAATTATTATTACAAGAGCTAAGGCAATAGGAGATGGGTTCACGTACAGGGTGCATCTACGGTTTGGACTGGGTTTACGGGGGTAACTTGCCGACTTGGTTTCGGCCTGGTTATTTGTCGAAGTTTCAGGAGGTACCTGTGCTTCTACCGGCCTCTCGCCTGTCTCGGTTTGAAATTGCACCGTATTTCCTGTTAGGGCGATGACGAGTGCTTCTTCAACTGATGTATCTTGGTTTGATTCCCCGAAAGTAGTTTGCGGAGTTTGATGGGCTTGTGTACTGTGCATGCTGTACGATGCCCTGGCTTGTTCATAATAGATCTTGCTTGGATCGACGAAGGTTGGTAGCGACGTTTGTGAAGGGGAGTTCGACAACCTGCGTCCGTGACTTTCTCCGTGGAAATTATTTCTACGGGACATGTTTATGTGGGTTGCGTCTTGATTGTGAATTTCCGAGCTAGAGTGTTGGTTTGTATTGCCCTGTGTGTGCGCAACATGCGACTTTGGGCTTCTTGTACCCACGGGAGTGGGGCTGTACATCGAGTTTGATTGAATATTTGGGCGTGACGACCCGTAGCTAGGTGCTGAAGTTGTAGCAATTGACTGACTGTGTCTGATATGATGTGCAGGGTTCGGTGGAGGTATGGCACCGAAAGGTTGCCCGGAGGGACTCGAGTACGACACGGGGTTTGTGGTCGTGGACGACAAAGTATCTTTCCTTTGGCCTATCTCAACAGCAGGGGGTTGTGATGTGGCCGGTCGCTGATGCGTCGTGTTCTGACGAGAGGCTAGCGCAGGATTGGCCGAATATTCGGCTAGACTCGAGTCCCTCGTGGATGCGGCGTTATGGACAGTAGAGATATAGGGTTGCGTTTGATCAGAGTAAATCGATGAAGATCCTACTGGAACACTTTGTGAAAAGCGCCGGGCGGGTACGGAAGATGAGAGAGCAGTCATAGCACTCGCGGCAGCATTTCTAGATCGTTGCGCAGAGTCTGACCGATCGGCTGGGTCCGAGGAGGATCCACTCTGCTGATAGGACGGATGAACATTGGGAGACGGAGTTCGGCTTTGTGCCTGAGCGGTCCCGGAGTAGTAGAAGTTTGCGCTGCTGGAAGGATTTTCCGGAATTGGAGCTGCGGTCGACCCTGCTCTGGTACTGTTATACAACGCGTCCACCGCCGAGGAGTCAAGTGACACGTGAGATTGATTCACACCTGAATGTGGAGCGGTATACTGCCCTGATTGCGAGTTCCGGGACGTAACCTGTGGGGGATAATTCTGGCTTTGGACTTGAGCATCATTGCTCGAGGACCAGCAAGGATTTTCCGAATGCGACGTATTGGAACCCTGTAAGCTCGGAATCTGCTCTTGCCATCCGTATTCTTTCTGAGAATAGGTCCGGTCCGCGTTCTGCCAGCTAGAGGAGGGCGTCGAAGAGGATTGAGTATTTGAGACTGGTTGTCTCGAAGGATGGGCACTATTTGAGGAAAAGCCGTATCCGGGGTAAGACATATCGCGTACGGTGGGTAGCTGGTTCAAAGACGGCCGTGCACAGAATTCAAGTTGCTTGCACGTAGATGTGTCGTAAAGCGTGCAGTCACGGCGCGCGGAAGGTAGCTTGTGGCAGTCGTAGGACGAGGGGTATGCAAGCCGTCATCGGGCATAGAGTAAAGGGCACGAACTCACAGCATGGGGATAGATCTTGCGAGTATGACGGATTCCCCCACACGCCAGTACTATCACCCCAATTTCTAGCGACACTTCTACTAGCAACGAGGGCACAACGAGCTCACAGCTTATGCTTCAGAGGCGGAAACTTCCCTCGCGAGGTCGCGGCTTAGTCAGCACAGAGGTTAGTCAGCCAAACCCTATACGCGGGAGCGCCAAGGCTGCTCTCGCACACACTCTCGCGGAAAACAAAATTCGACACTAAGCGAGAATCTCGAAGTTGACGACGACCAGCGAATCCCCGAAGGGTCGATAATTCCAAGCACAGCAATACCTTCGGCCGCCAGATCTCTTCATTCCCTCCGGATCTGCCAAAATGACGAAGATCAACAAGGGTGCGTATCTGCCTGATTTTTCCTTGCTGGAGTGGCTGTCCAGGCACCGGTTGCAAAGGTGGAAAGGACGGGGAGAGGATATTGCGGAACTGGAATGCTGACGGACTATCCTTTTTTTTCCCCTTTTCAGAACTGGCCTCTTCGCGCCGAAAGTCGCGCAAGGCCCATTTCGGTGCTTCCTCCGGCGAGCGACGAGTTATCATGAGCGCTCCATTGAGCAAGGAATTGAGAGAAAAGCACAATGTACGATTGCGTCCTACGAATATTTTCCCCATCGCATTGGGAAATAACTGCTCCTGAATCTTTCTTTGCGTGGATCCTGCACCTTTTTTTCTCCCCTTCTACGAGAGCTCCGAGCCACTACACGAAATTTGAGAGAGGTTCTAAAATCGGTTATCGTGACTCTAGGTTCGCTCAATACCCATTCGCAAGGACGACGAGGTCACCATCGTTCGCGGCACCAACAAGGGCCGTGAGGGCAAGATCACCAGCGTCTACCGCCTCAAGTATGTCGTTCACGTCGAGCGCGTGACTCGTGAGAAATCGAACGGCCAGAGCGTCCCTATCGGCATCCACCCCTCCAAAGTCGTCATCACCAAGCTCAAGCTGGACAAAGACCGCGAGAGCATCTTGGAGCGCATGGGCAAGGGAAGAGAGACCAGAGCGAAGACTGCGTCCGCATAAATGTAGAAGACCTGGGGCTGCTTCGTTCTTGTTAGTAATGACAGGGGGTTCTTTATTTTTTCCAACTTTTTCCCGGAAAAAAAAGAAACGAAATGAATAAATGGGACCTCTGATGGCATGAGTTCTTTCAACTGGAGTTTTCTACAAGGCAGGCTCTGTTATGTTTGGGCGTTTTCTCCTCCAACCTTTTCTCCGCATGCCACCCCTCCCCCGTCTCTCGATTTTCTGCAGTCGATGCTGAAAATAGTCGATCACTGCCCATGTCACATCCAACAGCTGAGAAAATATCACAGGAGAAAATTCACTAGGTCCAAGTTTTTCTTTTTGTACTCTCTGATCTTGACTCTCTGGCTGTGATGGTGCATATAACTTCCTTGTTTTACCCAGGTATTCCATCATGAAATCGCTCGAAAAGACGACCGCTCATCCGAATTCCCCAAAGCCATCGTGAAAATTATGATCTCCTCAGAGTATCTCATTGCCAGTATTATCTCCTCGCCAACCAGAAAAGTGGTCTCAGATTGCTCCCCAATGGTTGTCGAGGTATACGGCTGGCGTATATCAAGTGACTCAACTTCCACTTATCTTCGTGATGGGTTGGCATGTTGTAGCCTTAAGGCTTGCCTGCAGACTTGCTCCTAGACTCTTATGTCAATGAGGGATGCAAGTTTGATGGGAAGCTACAAACCCAAAATATATAATTCGTAAATATGTGCATTCGGCACCTCAGATAGCATCATACACGTCTAATCATATATCATTCTCAATAAAACGCTGATACTCTTTGATTCTTCAAAGACTCTTGTAAAACAAACAGAGAGCTTGCTTCCAGCCGTACATGACAATAACATAGAAATGGAGATGAAGATTAAGAAGATGGGATAGGATATCAATCAAAAAGACAACAACATGAGCCTCACCAACACCGAAGAAAACCATTCTCTTCTACTCTTTCTTCCCAACGCATCTTCCCCAGGCAGGCAATCCGCACCCAATGCCTACGAACAGATATATCAAAAACAGCACGACCACCGCCAGCAACGCCATCAGTTTCACATTCTTCCACCACATCCGTCTGCGCAAATCCCGGCTCCGAACCCTGAAATCCCTCGCACTGCTGCCCAACCGATCCGTCTTGTCCACAAGCAAGTCTATCCTCTCCCCACGTTCCAGCACCCGCTCGATATTCTCCGTCATGATATCCCGCACGTTGTCGATCTCCTTGCGCGCAGACGCCAGGGAATCGGACGGCGGGGCCGTGTTGTACTGCTGCAGCAGAGCGCGCAGATCATTGTTAAATGCCGCACAGCCGTACGCCGGCAGGGAGCCGAAGTCGATGCTTTCCGGGCTGTATGCACTGAGGAACTTGCGCTTGATTTCGAGGAGGAAGGCAAAGGGGATGCGGCGGCCCAGCTCGGCGGTGGCTACGACGAGATAGCTGAGTGGGGCGTGCGAATCGGGTTCTGAGGAGGAGGCCGATGCCAAGGGAGAATCGGCGATGTAGTGTATGAAGAGTCGGTCATGGGTGTATGTGAGCTTTTGGGCTGATTGGTGGCTTATCTTGGGGAGAATGATGGAGGCGAGCGAGGAGGCGGAGGTGGACGAGGTGCCTGGGGAGGAGTGTTCCGCGAGAATGGTCGTTCTATGGGCAATGCAGGCGCTGGGAGAAGGTGGGTTAGCTGTGCACTGGCAGCATAGATATGCATTGGACTTACTAGAGGAGAGATGTCGCTGGCTTGGAAGAGGACGCCATCTTGATGGCCTGGTAGCCTGATGCTTGTTTCTCGCAAGATCAAACCCCTTGTTGAGACCAGCTACTGGACAACAGATCTGAACAGCAGCTTTAGTTGCCGTGAACAATTGATTGGGACAGTGGCGAGACGGTCTTCGCAAAGCAATTTGCTTCCTGTCTAGCACCCTATTTAGCTGCAGTGAGGTCATGACGACGCGGAGGGCTCACGGCCGGGGTCACGTGGAAACTTCCTTTTGGCTTCACGCTTTCTGCAACGGCCCGACATTGCGAGGCGGATGCATGAACTGGCTATGAGGAAAAAAAAAAAATGGAAGATAATATTTGACACGCAGCTAGCTAAAGACAGCGACTGGATTCTCGCAGCCAGGCGGATAAAAGGAATGTTTTGTACAATGAGAGCTCCGTACTCCACAACATTCATAAACATTACTTAGTTAGTTACATGCTAAACTCATAGGGGTACTCAAATCATTGAAATGCTCGAATCACAAAAGGCCACCAGCGATTACAATACATAGTATACAAGCAAACAATCTTCCGCCTGAAAAATTAAACCGCACCAAATGCCCTGAGGGAATCATAAATCATACAGAACTCGCTTTTAGCTCGGATGAGGAGTCATCAAATATCAGATCAGTGTTGTTGCCGCCGTCTTCGGAGTGGTATTCAATATACTGACGTTTAGAAGTGGGAATATTCGCTTTCGAAGCCATATTGCCCCGGATGTCCGGTGGATATATTTGCTCTCTGCGGAGGTCTTTCACCTCCCTTATCACGTCCCGGAAACTTTCCTCGAGAGTCTTCATCCTCGCAAGAACTAATCTATTCAATGTATCCCTGTGATCGGTATTCGAACGGTTTCGCTGAAGATCCCCGGTCGCGTATGCCATTTGCGTGGCGAAGCTCGCGGGGATGCCGCCGACAAACCCACCGCCGACGGCCTTGTTATCGCCCAGATCGGAACCGAGCCCTATCGCGATGGACGAACGGCCGCGATTGAGCTTGAGAAAGTCGCCAGATAGCAGCACCCCGTTGAGATTGGGAACGGATTTTGCTTCGGGCTTCGAGGGGTGAATGGGCCGCGGACCGGTATGCGCAGCGGTTTTTTCCTTGGGTGAGCGGCTGGGCGTGGGTGGTGTGCTCCTCTGGAAAGCTCTCCTGAGAGCCGGCTTCCCCGATGGCATGGGATTTACCTCACCTGTAGTCCATGAACGGAGAGGGTTTAAGAGGACAGTAGCGCTCGATAAATTTCTGGAATGCTTGCGTCGTGGCGTATTCGGCTTGCGGTTTGGGCTGTTTCGTCTAGAGAGCCTCTTCGCCGTCGAGGGCCGTGACGATCCCTTGAATGAATTGGAAGATGGTCCATTTGTAAGGTTGAACAAATCCTCCTGCTCGTCTTGTATCCTGCTGCCTATCGTCGTGGTTCTTTGGCGCAGGCTCGACACCTCGTCATCCTGCTGGTGGTCGCTGCTAAGCTCGTCGTCGCCTTCCATGTCCGTCTGCTGGGTTAATTGCTTGCGAAGCGGGTGCCCAAAGCCTCTCTCGACAGCAGGAGCTTTTGGGCGGATTTTCCCGCTATTGACAAAATCTTCTGGATCAGAGGCAACTGACCGGGTCGTGATGGTCGGGTCGCGCAGAGAGTGTTTTAATCTTCTCCGCGCTCCTGGAAAACACAGTATTCGTCGCTGTTCCAGTCGTTCCAGCACCGCCTGATCTTCTTCGTCAGGTGGTTCAGCGATGCCGCCAGGTCCAATGTCCCGCATCCAGTCGCTAACTATAGCATTGGATTTATGCTGAGCACGGGTGTCCTGCCTCACGCGGTGAGCGGTCTGCCTGAAAGGACGACGGAAGACTTGTTCCAAAGCCTCATCCTTCTGGTGCGTTGCGATCGATGGCTCTCTCAAGCGAAAAGTATTTCCGAGTGCAAAGAGGTCATGACCCTTGTTACCGTTATTAACCCAGTTTTTAGATTGGCTAGGGCGCAAAGGCCCATCGACCAGATCAGTCGGCTCGAATACCGCCGAGCGTAATGCAATCCTCTCATAAAGGTATATGCTAAACAGGATCGGGAAATGTGTGGCCTTTATGATTGTCCTGTTAAGCCTCATGAAGCTCCGAAAAGGCATGACGAACCGCAAGGGTGCAACGACCCATGCCACAATGTTTGCAGGTGCAATGTAGGAAAATAGAGCATCAGATTTGACCATGGAAATTGTGTTTACGGCAAATAGGAACTGGTGTTCTTCGTTTGCATTCTGGACGATAGCCATGAATGAATTTGTTAGGACTGTAATGAGAATGGTGACGACAAGGAAGTGGCAAATAAAGAGGAATAGGATGAGGATGGCCTTTCCGAGGGGGTTATAACGATCCCAAAGCTGCCAGGCGGCTGGGGTGAAACCCATGATCATCTGGAAAAGAGCATAGATCACGGAGCTGGGAGAATCGCCGTGTCCAAAGGAGAAGGTGAAGGCGACGAAGAATCCACTGCAGGCGATTATGATCAGGATAAGAACAGCGAAGAGATCTACAGCCATCATCCTGAAGGCTATGAGCAGCTGAGAGAAGTAGCGATAGTGATCCAGGACCGAAAAGAGCCTTGGTACTAGGAGGACGGCAGTCGCCGCAAGGACATCGTAGGCCAGAATTGCGACAGTATGGTCCAGAAGCAGGACGCTGTACAAGCGTAGACAGTAGTAACAGAAAAGGAGAAACAGAATCCCGACGTCAAAGGTGTTCCAGAAGCTCATTAGGTACAGACTGAAACCTTGTTCGTTGAATCCGACAATCTCGTCCAGCATGTAGCCAGCGCTCCAGAACCAGAAGACAAGCTCCAAGGTGGTAAGGAGAAAGGACCTTCTCTGAATGACGGTGAGGAATAGACACAATAATACAGCGAATGAACATGTGGAGAGCACCTGGCGATAGCGCGGGACCCGCAGGCGGGACAGTTTGAATAGGGAAGCATCCTGCGGGTCATAGAGTGAAGCAGAGCGTCTCGAGATGAACGAGGTGGAGTCTGTGTAAGCCCCGTTCGCAGGATCCACGGATGCTCCCAAGGAGCCGTACTGAGTTCTGGTAGCATTCCTGAGAGGGAGACGGTGCAAATGGTCAGCAGCCGAGTAGAAGACAATGGTGCCGGCCCATATAGCCTCTAATTGCTGAACAACCAGGGGATGGGCTAAAAATCTTTTCGCCTGGGCTCTGATGGCGACTTCCAAGCAGGATATACGAACGCCCTTTAAATGTCGCTGGCTGCGACTGTGGGGATACCTTCCGGTCTCGTGTGCGGTGGTGCTCGTCGTCGACGGAGGCGTTTGGCCCTGCAATGGATGAAAATCATAGGAAAGAGCATCGATCAACTCCCTCGTGGAGTACTCCTTGAGAAGCTTGATGGCCAGGAGCTCACACACCATGGCCCTGGTATGGCTAGCGCCACTTATCCCTGGCTTTATATCGGCCTCCTTACGGAACTGGAGACAGTTTGCCATGAGGGAGTAGAGGGTTGCCCTGGAGAAATGAGCTGTGTGTATCGCCTGTAGAATCGGTTTTAGAAGGAACTGCGACACCTGCGGCGAACGGAGCTGTTCCCAGGTGAGAGTGGTCTCGCATCGTGAAGCCACAAGGAGACACAGATCGTATGTGAGATGGTAGACGGGGAGAGAGTCTAGGATAGTGAGCAGATTAGTATTAAGATACCAGCGTTTCTAAGACTAGAATGCGTACCAAGGTGAGGCGCTGAGAAGATGGGGAGCAAGGGAGTGGTATCCTGGGTGTCATGTCCGTCATTCGTCTCGCAATCGACGCCATGGCCATCGTCACCGTACTCCTCGTCATTGGGAGCAGGCTGGTTACTCTGGCGTGGGGCACGCAGCGGCCCATGAAACATCATACGCCTCGCCGCAATAGGGCTTGGAGCGGACATGTCCGCGGTGCTGAGAGACGCGAGTGGACTCCCACGGGCACGAGTCGTCGGCTCTGTCTTGGGCCAGAGCAAAGATGCAAGCACCCACACTGGCAATATGCGTAGAAATTCTCAAACCAGGCAGCTGCTGAGACCACAATGCCCCATCCAAGAGGACAAAACCACGGCACGGTGTCAAGTTGAAAAAGCCATCCAGCACATGATCAGATAGAATGGCCTAAGAGTCATCAGGCGAAAGCTAAACGGACGGAAACAAAAAAAAAAAAAAGGAGACAGAAGAAAACACAGAAGACCACCCAGAACTTGAAACTGAAGAAACAGAAGACACAGGACAGGACTAGGAAAAGGAGGAGGAGGAGGAAGACACTAGATCAACAGCAGGCCTGCCCGGGCGAGGAGCAGGTGAGGGGAGGTGAGATGATGTCTCCATGGCGAGCCGGTTTGTGTTATATTTTTTTTTCTCCCCCCCCCCTTCTGTTCCTCCTGAGTACATGTCATCTCCAGAAGCAGGTGGCGAGCGCGATAAGCAGATAAGATTGACTTTTGCACTCACACGCGTCCAGCTCGGCGATTGGCCACCCGCCCGGCGAGGGGCACAAAGAAACGAGGAACGGCGGTCTTCTGCTCCAGCACGAGGTCTCACAGCATGCTGCATGTACATAACTATGTATCAAGACTACATGAGTCTGAGAGTGTTCTGCAGCACGGTGTACCCACGGGCCTCGAATAATGGCTCCAAGTGTCGGGATCGTAGTAAACTCCTTCGTACCTTGCGACGAGCTATGGCGATGGAACCGCCTCCGTCCATCGGTAAACCCTTACACGAGTTGGCAAGCCAGTTGTTTTGAAACAGATGCCTCACCTCTGCTCCCTGAAACTAGACTTGAGGATGAGTGTCCTACTAGATGTGCAAGATTTGGAGTTTGGTTCTCTCTTTCTCTCACTCTTCTGCTCCCTGGCTGCCCTCGCTGAGCGAATTTCTTTCCATTTGTGTCCCTCAGGATCATCGCTCAAGCCCGCAAGACGGGATAGTACGCCTAGAACGATAGAGCTGCATTAGCGATGTAAAATCTGTTCCACATCCGTAAAATCTCAATTCGAAGCTCCATAATTGTGTCAGATGAAATACGATGAGAAGACAAAAAAATTTAAAGGATGTGCCGCGCTGAATGCCAGGATGAGAGTCGACTAGCACAGGGTCCAGGCCATGGCGATGCTTCTCCGAGACAAGAACTCCATTACTGGTGGCCAATTCGCCGACACCTTGCAGATTCGTCCGGACGGACATCCCTGACTGGTGATCCGGCATCAGTTCTGACTTCCTTGCCCTGTTCTCTCTCTCTGATCTCTGTTTTTCTCCGTACTTTTTGTCGGCTGTCGACTGTGGACCTGCTTGGCGCCAATCACCAGCGGCGGTGGGCCCCAACCGCAAACCAAACCGCAGAAACTGCCCGCCAGCAGAGAAAAAAAAAAAAAGTCTTTCACAGAAATTTTCTCAACTGCTCCTTTTTTTCCCCATTCTCTCTTCTCCTCCTCTGGTCCCCTGTCCAATCCTTAAGGACCAGGTTAATCATTCATTCTTTTTCATTCCTCTCTGGACTGGCCTGACCACAAGATTAAAAAGCCAGTTCAGCACTCCCTGCATCTCCGTTTCAATTCTTCCCACCCCCCCGCTGTCGTCGGACTGTGCACGCAAAACTGAAAAAAGGTCAGCTCGTCACGCGATAAATTCTCAAGAGGACGGCGAGATGCCGCTCTTCACGTCTCCCTCGGACGCGAAGCCTCCTCAAACCCCGACCAGTCCCCAGAGGACCTCTAGATCCGACTCTCTCTTCCCCTCTGCCCCCTCCGCCGGTGGTGCCGTTGCCTACGTGCAGAATGAGCAGCAGCCAGCCCAGTCCGCCCAGTCGCCAATCGCCCCCGCGGTGATCCCCCCCGCCTGCGCACAGATCACAGAGGACGCTGGCAGGTCAATTCTCCTCGAGCTCGAAGATGGAGCCATCTACCACGGCCTCAGCTTCGGCGCCGAGAGGAGCGTCGCCGGCGAGCTGGTCTTCCAGACCGGCATGGTGGGCTACCCGGAGTCCATAACGGATCCCTCCTACCGCGGTCAGATCCTCGTCGTCACGTTCCCCCTGGTCGGCAATTACGGTGTTCCGTCCCGCGAGACGATGGACGAGCTGGCGAAGGACATCCCCAAGCACTTCGAGTCCAGCCAGATCCATATCGCCGGTCTGGTCGTGGCCAGCTACTGTGGAGAGGACTACTCCCACTTCTTGGCCGAGAGCTCCTTGGGCAAGTGGCTGAAGGAACAGGATGTGCCTGCGATCTACGGTGTTGACACTCGTGCTCTCACAAAGAGAATCCGCGAGGAGGGTAGCATGCTTGGCCGCATGATGCTCCAAAAGTCTACAAGCGGCAAAGACCTAGTCAATGGCGTCCCCACTACCGCTGACGGCGAGGATTCTGAGATGTGGCGGGAGAATTTTGAAGAAATCGCCTGGGTAGATCCCAACAAGAGAAATCTTGTCGATGAGGGTAAGGCAACCCCCCGGGCGCAATGGCCGAAATCTATTTTTTTTTTTTTTTTTTTTTCGTTGGAAGACCCACTAACTGCTTTTCATAGTCTCAATCAAGGAGCCTCGCCTGTATAGCCCTCCAAAGGCTGGCTTACTTCATCCTTCAGGCCGGCCTGTCCGAGTTCTCTGTGTCGATGTTGGTATGAAATATAACCAACTTCGATGCCTCCTTGCCCGTGGTGTTGAGGTCCTCGTCGTGCCTTGGAACTATGATTTCCATTCACTCGCAAAGGACTACGATGGTCTTTTCGTGTCCAACGGCCCTGGTGATCCGGCCATGGTATCGTCCACCGTCGCAAACCTTGCAAAGGCCCTGGAAGAATGCCGGACACCAATCTTTGGTATCTGTCTCGGCCATCAGCTCCTCGCTCGAGCCGCTGGTGCAGGCACCACTAAAATGAAGTTTGGCAACCGTGGTCATAACATTCCTTGCACAAACTTGCTGTCAGGCCGTTGCTATATTACCTCTCAAAATCATGGTTTCGCCGTGGACTCATCGACGCTTCCCGAAGGATGGGAAGAGTTGTTTGTCAATGCCAATGACGGAAGCAATGAAGGTATCAGACACGTCTCTAAGCCTTACTTCAGTGTTCAGTTCCACCCGGAGAGCACGCCTGGCCCTCGGGATACCGAGTTCCTTTTCGATGTCTTCATTAATACTGTGAAGAAGAGTATCGAGTCTCCTTCTGGCTTGAACGAGCCGGTCAGCTTCCCTGGTGGCACCATTGAAGAGAACCGGGCCGCCCACCCCAGAGTCTCGGTTAAGAAGGTTCTCATTCTCGGCAGTGGCGGCTTGAGTATTGGTCAAGCCGGAGAATTCGACTACTCTGGCAGTCAGGCCATCAAGGCTCTCAAACAAGAAGGAATTTACACCATCCTGATCAATCCGAACATCGCGACCATCCAAACTTCCAAGGGTCTCGCCGATAAAGTCTACTTCTTACCCGTCAATGCTGATTTCGTACGAAAGGTCATCAAGCATGAGCGTCCTGATGCTATTTACGTCACCTTTGGTGGACAGACCGCCCTTCAGGTCGGTATACAGCTCAAAGACGAGTTTGAAGAGCTCGGCGTCAAGGTTCTCGGTACCCCAATTGAGACCATTATTACCACCGAAGATCGTGAGTTGTTCGCTAGAAGCATGGAGTCTATCGGAGAGAAGTGCGCCAAGTCTGCATCTGCATCTACCCTCGAAGAGGCTATGGAGGTTGTCAAAGGCATTGGCTTCCCCGTCATCGTCCGTGCCGCGTACGCTCTCGGTGGTCTTGGAAGTGGCTTTGCGGACAATGCAGAGCAACTTCGCGATCTTTGCGCCAAGGCATTCGCCGCCAGTCCCCAGGTCCTCATTGAGAAGAGTATGAAGGGTTGGAAAGAGATCGAGTACGAGGTCGTTCGTGACGCACAAGACAACTGTATTACTGTTTGCAACATGGAGAACTTCGATCCCCTCGGTATCCACACTGGCGATTCCATTGTCGTTGCTCCTTCACAGACCCTTTCGGACGAGGATTACAATATGCTCCGGACTACAGCGGTCAATGTCATTCGACATCTCGGTGTTGTGGGTGAATGTAATATCCAATATGCTCTGAACCCATTCTCGAAGGAGTACTGCATCATCGAAGTCAATGCTCGATTGTCCAGATCTTCCGCGCTTGCCTCGAAGGCAACCGGTTACCCATTGGCTTTCATCGCTGCCAAACTTGGCCTTGGTATCCCATTGAATGAGATCTCCAATAGCGTCACCAAGGTTACATGTGCCTGCTTCGAACCCTCCCTCGATTACGTCGTGGTTAAGATCCCTCGTTGGGATCTGAAGAAATTCACTCGCGTCTCCACCCAGCTCGGTTCTTCCATGAAGAGTGTCGGTGAAGTTATGAGTATTGGCAGAACTTTCGAAGAAGCCATCCAAAAGGCCATTCGTGCCGTCGATTACACTAATCTGGGCTTTAACGCTACCAATGCGCTGATGTCCATCAAGACTGAGCTCCAGACTCCATCTGATCAGCGTTTGTTCGCTATCGCAAATGCAATGCACTCCGGCTACACCGTTGATGATATCTGGGAGCTAACCAAGATCGACAAATGGTTCCTACGCAAGCTTGAGGGTCTCAGCAAATTTGGAAAATTAATCAGCACTTTCTCCGCCTCTACTGTCCCTGTCTCCCTTGTCCGACAGGCCAAGCAGCTTGGTTTCTCCGACCGCCAGCTCTCCAAATTCCTGAGCTCTAATGAGTTGGCAATCCGCCGCCTTCGTGTTGAGGCTGGTATTATGCCTGTTGTAAAACAGATCGACACCGTTGCTGCTGAGTTCCCCGCTTACACCAACTATCTCTATCTTACGTATAATGGCTCGGAGAGTGACATTTCATTCAATGACAACGGCGTTATGGTTCTTGGGTCCGGTGTCTACCGGATCGGTTCTTCCGTCGAATTCGACTGGTGCTCCGTCAGGGCCATTCGCACCCTTCGAGAGCAAGGACACAAGACGGTCATGGTCAACTACAACCCCGAGACTGTTAGTACCGACTACGATGAAGCTGACCGTCTGTACTTTGAGAATATTACTTTGGAGACCGTGCTCGATATCTATCAGCTGGAGTCCTCGAGTGGAGTCATCATTTCCATGGGTGGCCAAACGCCAAACAACATCGCGTTGCCCTTGCATCGTTTGAACGTCAACATCCTTGGTACCTCTCCCGAGATGATCGACGCTGCTGAAAACCGCTACAAGTTCTCTCGATTGCTTGACCGCATCGGCGTCGACCAACCAGCGTGGAAGGAACTCACCAGTATTGAGGAGGCTACGGCATTCTGTGACAAAGTCAAATACCCTGTGCTTGTCCGTCCGTCCTATGTTCTGTCTGGTGCTGCAATGAACACGGTGTACTCCCAGGACGATTTGGCCAACTACCTCAACCAAGCTGCCGAGGTCTCGAGGGACCACCCAGTGGTTATCACAAAATACATTGAAAATGCCAAGGAAATTGAAATGGACGCTGTCGCAAAGAATGGTGTGATGGTCGGCCACTTCATCTCCGAGCACGTCGAGAATGCCGGCGTTCACTCTGGTGATGCGACCCTCATCTTGCCGCCACAAGATTTGGACCCGGAGACCGTCCGTCGGATCGAGGAAGCCACTCGAAAGATCGGAAACGCCCTCAACGTCACCGGTCCATTTAACATTCAGTTCATTGCCAAGGACAATGAGATCAAGGTTATCGAGTGCAACGTACGGGCATCGCGATCATTCCCGTTCGTTTCCAAGG